CATAAAGAAAAGGAAGGAATCAACTGCCTTTGTTCTCAGATGTCTTAATTGTATGCATATAAAATCCAAAAGAATCTTTAAAAATAAAACTACTGGAACCAATAACTGAATTTACTAAGGTCACAGAATACAAAGTCAATATATACAACTCAATCTATGTCCACATACTAGTAAGGAAAAATCAAAAAATAAAATTTTTATATACCATTTATATCAGCATTCAAATAACTATAAAATAAATACTTAAGGATAAATTTAACAACATAGGTACACAATCTTTGTACTGGAAACTATAAAACATGTCCAAGATAAATTAGAAAACATCTAAATAATTTAAGAACTATGCTCATGAATTGGAAGACTCAATATTGATGAGATGTTAATTTTATCCAAATTGATCTATAGAGTCAACCTAATCCAAAACAAAATCTCAATTTTGTAGATATTTTGTAGAAATTGACAAGCAAATTCTAAAATGTATCTGGAAATGTAGTTAAAGCAATTTGGAAAAAAAGGAGCAAGCTAGGAGAGTAATCTGTCCAGATTGCAACAGGACTATGAAGGAGAGAAAAAAAATTAATAGGTTATCTGATGGATGTGAATGTATTAAGGAAGACATTTGGGACTGAAATAAAAGTACATGGAAAAATTCTATTGTTAGACAAAATTTGTACCAAAAAAAGAGGAAATGTAAACATTGTACCCAACTGTGAATAATTTTTTACATAATCATTATAAACAAAAACATTGAATGTTGATTTAACCAAGAAATATAGTATCTATGTTCTGGGAGAACAGAGCTGGGGAGGGGGGTGGGCAGCTTTGGTGTTTGCTGTATGGGTGTAAAAGCAGGAGAGAGTCTGGAGAGTGTTATATCCTCAGAAGCCAAAATAGAAAGTCAACAGATGATATCTAAAACAGATGATATCTAAAAGTGGGGGGATCAAAAGCTAGAAGTATAAGCATGATATTTAGAAATATGTAGACCACTATTAAATAAAACAGCTATGAGAGTTGAAAGTTGTTGCTTTTGCCCGTAGGGAGCGGAGCTGGAGGGATGTTGCTGGTTTTTATTATAAGCTATATTTATAAAAACTAAACAATGTACCTGAAATACTTTGACAAAAAAGAAAGACTAATTTTATATAGTCTAAGTTAACATATTCTGTTTATTTTTTTATTTTTTTAAATTCTTTAATTCATTTCTACCCTCAAGGTTGGAAGAAGGGTCTTGAATTTAAAAACAGAATACCAGCCCTGGCTGATGTGGCTCAGTGGACTGAGTGCCAGCCTGCAAGCCAAAAGGTTGCCAGTTCTATTCCCAGTCAGGGCACATGTCTGGATTGCAGTCCATGTCACCGGTTGGGGACGTGCAATAGCCAACTGATACATGTGTCTCTCACACATCCATGTTTCTCTCCCTCTCTCTCTCCCTTCCTCTCTCTCTAAAAATAAATAAATAAAAATTTTTAAAAAAGAATATCAGTATGAGCCCTGGCAAGGTAGCTTAGCTGGTTAGAGCATCGTCTAGGTACACCAAGGTTGTGGGTTGTAGCCCCAGTTAGAACACATACAAGAAGCAACCAATGAATGCATAAATAAGTGGAACAACAAATTGATGTTTCTCTCTCTCTAAAAAAAAAAAAAATCAATAAATTTTTAAAAATTTTTAAATAATGCTAAGATGAATAAAAACATTGGTGGTGAGAACTCAGCTGTTAACTACTTGTAGCTTTCTATGTCAAACTAACAGATCTTTGGCCCCTCCAACCTCTGTGTGGAGACAGCAAAAGGCTGTACACTCCATTGTAATTTCTTGGTTAGTGGTCATCTTTGGGAAGGCCCTTAGAGCAAAGAGGAGATGGTCATTTTATTTCATCTGCACCTACGAGATTTTTCAACCTCTGGAAGATCCGATGTAAAATGCAAATTGCTGAGAAAGAGATCTTAAACCTCTATGGAATAAAATCCAGATTATCATTATTTTGCTGGAACCAGTAAGAATGGGTCACAGATTGGGGGACAAGGGATGGTGAGGGGGCTGAGTATAGTCAGAGGGGAGCTAATACATGGGAAAATAGTATATTTCAATATAATTACTTGGAGGCTGGAACATTTTAACCAAGCCTACAAAACCAATTTTCAGTTTTTGAAATCAGCAAGCATTGTGCAAGAACATATATTCACATCCCACCTTCATCTCCAATAACCCTATCCTTGATGTTCAGCCCGTTCTTAACCCCAGTCCTACCTGTCTGATGCTAGGGCAGGGGTGTGGTGGCTACTATAACGAGAAGGTACCTTAAGACCAAAAAATGATGCAGGCAACTCCATAGAGTATAACAATTTATTATAATTTACTTACAGCAATGTAGGGTTGGAGCAGACAGACAACCTAGCAATCTGCACAGATTATTCTCCATTAACAGACTCCTGTTACAGTACTTTTTTTATAGTGTAACTTAAGTACTAATGATTGACAAGACAAAAGGACAAAGAATGCAGTACATGCTAGGAGTCATACCTCCTGGTGGTCTTGTGATAAATGATTGTTTATCATAGATACTATCATCATTTCAATATTTATGTTCATCTCACTTATCATGCCATTCCCACTCTTACTAACAAAAATATTTAAGTCTGCATTGTGTAAGTTTAACAAACACAGATAATCATGTTTGCTAATGACAGTAAGGTTGATTAAAGGTCACAACATTAAAACTTAAAGATGGAAAAAATCCAGGACACAGAAATGAACTTAGTTTTGTCACAACTACATCTCTACACTGTCTGTAATTCTGTGCCACCTCTGACCCCCACTCCTCTTCTAAAAAGCACCCCACCCCTGATCTCTGCACCATCCTGGATATTTAGCTGCTCCCTCGGGTGAACTCACTCGCCGATTTTCACTTGATATCTAACCCTTACCCTATCTAGTGATCAAAATACCAGTCTTTGATATTTCAATACACCATGTTATTTCAGTACCAACATCCTGGCATTTTTACAGATCCAAAACCCAAATCATTTACATCTTGAGCTATCCCCAGAGAATTATACACTGCATTAACGAATCTATTTGAACAATGGTTCACTTGTTTGAAGACAGTTCTGACTCCATGCCTCTCTTGTTAAAACACTTCCAAGTTATCTTATTGCTGTTTGATTCCCACATCCCAAGTTGCTAATGAAGCCAAGCATTTTTTCAGGTGTATATTAGTCATTTGTATTTCCCCAGACCCAATATGGATCCTTATTAACTTACTGAAGCCCCTGATGGAGTTGTCTTTAGGGTGGAGGAAGATGAATTTAGGAAGATACGGCAGGAGAGGTAGAAAGGGAATTAAGGGAGGGAAGGAGAGGAAGGGGAGGTTCCCAGGCTCAGTTCCCAGCCTTCCACGCTGGATTCTTTGTGCATTCTTCTGTCTTCTCTCCTTAATCAGATCCATCTCTTAGGGCTTGAGCCCCCAACTCCTTCCTCACCAGGCCTATTTGGAGTCTCAGGCTGGGCAGACAGAAGCACCTCCTTCCTGGCTGCATCTCAGAAAATGCTCCAGGGAAGATGGTGACCCTACCAGTGATGACTTTTTGTTCCAGCCACTAACGGGACTAAATCACAGTGGCTACTGTTGGAGCCACTAACCCATCCCAGCCATTCACTCTATTTCTAACACCCCTCCCTGAGACTCACCACGCCTCCACACTCATCCCACTCCTAAGCCTCCTCCATATCTGGTCCCAACACCACCTGGAACTTCCCTAAATCTCACTCACATCATTACTAACCTTTCCTATCTCTGGATCTCTCGCCATACTCTGACCCCTCTCCTTACCACAAGCTGTTACTCCACCCCTGGTTCCCCACCGCCACCACATCTCTGACTCTAACCTCAGCCTCTGATCGCGGTCCCAACCTTGATCTAAATCCCAACCCCGAGTCTCACTCCATCTGCAACTTCAAACCAAATTAAGCTTTTCCCTTATGTTTTCTTCTAAGAATTTAATAATTTTAGCTCTCATGTTTAGGTCTTCAATCTATTCTGGGTTAATTTTTGTATGTGATATAAGGTAAAAGACCAATTTCATTTCATGCATGTGGAGTTCTAGTTTTCTCAGCATCAATTGTTGAAAGACTATCCTTTCCCCATTGAATAGTCTTGGCACCATTGTTGAAAATCACTTGACCATTTATGCTTAGGTTTATTTCTGGGCTCTTTATTCTCAGCTTCTTTTTATTCTTTGCCTCCATCAGCCAAGGTGTATTATAATTTTTGACTCATTGTCACAAAAATGCTGCCTGACATCCTATACTATAATATACATCATATACTATAGCATACATCATATACCATAACCATATTCAAAGGCAAGATCCAAGATAATGTGTACTCTCTTTTTTTAATCAGGAATATTTTCCAGGAGTCCCCTAGCCCCAGCAGACTCCCTCTTGAGCAATGTTGTGCTGAAAGCAGATTATTATGTTTTCTAGAATTTTGTGAGCTTGTTGCTAAACGTCTCCACCCTTGAAATTGCCATGGTGGGAGTGTTTATAACACGGAACTTGGTGAACACTGCAGAAACAGGAGTTTTTCTTTCCATAGCAGACTGGTTTACCAGCACACTCTTGTCTACAAGTTTTCCTAGTTGAAACTGGAGAATATGGCCACTCCTAGCTTACCGGAATCACGGAAGTGAGTATCTGTCACTTTTGGCCTCTCCACGGGAAGCAGACTTTGCTAGCAAGCAAGGAAAGGGAGAGTTGGGGAAATAATCGCGGTGCTTGCCACTGATGGCTCCCAACGGTGGGAACTTTGTGAACTCACTTGAAAGCACGTCTTTGAAACACCTCCGATCCGAGGACAGAATGCTAGGGGCTGAGTGGTAGGATGGACAGAGCTCTAGCAGTTGACATAGTAATTACAGTGAGGGGCGAGGCTGCAGGGCAGGCTTTCTCGACCGTACACTGGGGGCTGGCAAGGTCACGGCCTCAGCAACTTCCTGTGACCACAATGAGGGGCTGGCCTGCCACAGACACTCTGAATAGCCAGTAGACTTGAGGCTTGGGTGCTAACAGGAGGAGAGGAGCCCTGTGGGGCTGCACCAGGGCTGGGGGTCTTAGAGGGTAGTAGAAGTGCTCCTTGAAAAAGAGCCAACAAAAGAGGGCTTGCTGTCCTTGGCCAGGAATTCTTTGCTGATCAGGCCATGGGTGGCCATGATCCTGAGGAGTCCATGGCGAAACTTCTGGCCAATGAAGGCATAGATGAGGGGATTGAGACAGCTGTGGAAGAAGCCCAGAATCTCGGTGGCATCCAGGGCCCGGTTAATGTCATTTCGGCGGTTACAGGTCTCCTTGATGACCTGGAGCCTCATGAGGGTGTCTGCCACCAGGACCAGATTGTAGGGCAGCCAGCAGAGCAGGAAGACGAGCACGACAGCGAAGATGACCCGCATGGCCCGGTGCTTCTGCCCCATGTGGGCCTGAAAGAGTGTGCGCAGGGTGAGTCCATAGCAGAACAGCATGACCAGCAGTGGCACGAGGAAGCCAAAGGTCTGGGGCAGGACCCGCATCACCATGCGCCATTTTGTTGTATTGGCACCCAAGTTCTCGTAGCAGACTGGGACGGACAAAAGTGGTTCAATCACCTGACGGATGATGAAGACGGGCAGGGACAGGATCAGAGATAGAGCCCAGATGCCTAAGCATATGAACTTGACCCAGTGTCGCTTCTGAGTCAGTGTGCGCGTGGCATGAACAATGGCCAGGTAACGGTCTATGCTGATACAGGCCAGCAGTAGAATACCACTGTAGAAGTTGACTTCCTTCAGGAGCGAGACCACCTTGCACAGGGCTGTGCCAAAGATCCAGCCCTTTACCTTGGAGGCAGCCCAGATAGGCAAGGTCAGGGCGAAGAGCAGGTCAGCCAGGGCCAGGTTCAGCAGGTAGACGTCAGTGACAGAGCGGCTGACCCGGTTGTACAAGACGACCAGCATCACCAGGGAGTTTCCCAGCAGGCTCAGCAGGAAGACCAGGGCATAAATGACAACCACAGCATGCTTGTTGAGATCCCCAGCGTCCTTGGGACAAGGGCTAAATGTTTCTGTGGGCGGTGTGCCAGTCAAATTTTCAAATTCATCCCACCAATCCGTATCATTCTCAGATGCAGTGTACACGAAGTATTTCATGATTTGATCTAGTTGAAAGATTAGGAAAAATTGTGATTTATAACTCAAATTCAAGTCATCCATGATCATCAAGAATGTAAGAACAGTTACTGGTCTGTCTTTTGCCTCTCTGTTCCTTTGGCAACTGCAGATCCCTTCCTTCACCTCCTTCTTGGATTTCGTTAGAGGTCAGCCTCATCTGGCAGTGTGGCCAGCCTTCCATATCTCTAAGGCCTGATCAGAGTGTGGAATGAGATGAACTACAGGGAAAAAACCTTGGTAATTGGTTGGCCCTACAACTGCGTTAGCTCTACCTATAATTCCACCTCTGTCCTCTCTTTGGCCCTCTTCATCCTCAGCTATGTCTGTGCACTCAGGTGGGAGGATCAAGTTAGTCCTGGACATTCAGGAGAGGCCAGTATTATGCAAAATGGAAGGAGGCAAACCTGTCCCCAGATATTCCTTTCTATGTTGTGTCCTCAGTATGTTATTCCTGATTCTGTTTAACCTTCTTAAAATCCACCAAGGGAATGAAATGATAACAATGAAACCTTAAAGTGTATTTTAAGCCTTCTCCCTAAAGAGACAATAAATGTTTGGTTCTCTGTCTAAAGGAAGTGTAAGCTTTTGAGCGCAGTCCTCATCTTGGGCCCTGAAATCACCTCCTGGACAGCCACAGGAACATTCAGCAATTTTCAAATATCATTTTAAATTGTGAAACACTTTGTTGAAGTAAAATCTTACCAGAAGCCCAGAATGTAAAACAACCAAAGCCTCATCTGCTGGGGAAGTGGGGGCGGGGAGTGCTGTCCCTGTACCCAGACTGCTGCTAGAAGGTTTCCCAAGCCCCCAGGACTAGTCAGGAAACAGTCTGGAAACCATGGGGAAGTTACCGAGACTGGAAGTAAGGATACCTTGAATCTGCTCCTGATTCTATCATGGATAAACTGTGTGATCTTCAGGGGGTCTTTTTACCTCTCTAGGTTTCAGTTTTCTCCTCTGCAAATTGAGGGAGGCCAAGTAAAGCACCCCTGGGTTGTTTCCAGGCCTGAGGTTCTGTAACTGCATTCTGATCCACACCCGGTAGTGCGTTCTCTCCTGCCAGTATTGCAGTTTCACAGGAGACAGCGTCTTAAGGCAAAGCAGTACATATAAAATTGGGGAGGTGTAAGCCTCTTCCTTGCCAAGAAGGAGGTGAGAAGGCTGTATAACCTCTTTGCCATGAGCCACGTATAAGGTCAGAATTGAATACATGGTCACAAGGGTGGAAGCAGAAAGCCAATTGAGCAGAAATCTTCAGGTCCCAGAGAAATGGATGCATTTTCTAAAACACAGCCAAAGCAAATCTCCCCACCCCAAAGAAAGTCCTGGCCACCAGAGATGGCTTCCTACCTGAGGCACGAACCGTAAGAGCCTGAAAGCTCAGAGACCAGAATGACTTAACCAGTAGAGGGAACTTGATGATAAAGGGAAATAGCAAAGCCACGTCACAGCCTCTTCTTGGAGCCCGGCCCATGTCCACATCTGGAGAATAGACTGAGTCAGGGGAGCAGAGCCCTGTCAAACATTTGCAAGGTCCCTACGTCCAAGCAGGGACACCAGGCATGAGGATGGATTTAAAAGTACTTATCTGAATTCTCTACTCAATGGATGACTCTATTTATTCTCCTCTCTTTCTAGTATTTATTTCCATTTGTGTACTCCTTGCATTCCCTAGCAGACCACCTTGGAAAGCTTCCAACTTGCCTGACACAAATAAAGGCCAAAGGATTTGTCTTTTGGCAGTAGAGACTTCAGAAGGAGTCCACCGGAGGAAGATTTGCAGGCGTCCTCCACCTCGGAATTCAGGGGTAATCTGGTGGGAAGAAGGCGTGTTTGCGCAACAAGCACACCATCGTTACTTACCTAGTAAGCCACCCTGGGGTGGCCTGAGGGGCTGGTAGAGATGTTGGTGAAGATCTGGGGAGAGAATTAACCCCCTTTCAGCTGCTCCTTTGCACAATTACTGCCAACATGAGAATCACCCTGATGCTAGGAGCAGGGGCCCCCTGGAGCCTGGATAGACAGCAGAGGACCATTGGAGCTAGAGCAACTGGTGAATGGAGGAGGTAGAGTTCGTGTCATTCTGCCTCTCTCTCCCTACTGAAAGATGGCTTCTCTGGGAGCCTGCCTCAGCTGCCCCCAGCAGCTCAAGTCTGTCCCCTGGCTTTACCTCTCTGGTATTTCAATCACTTCTCCATTCTAACATGAACCCTACCATACTGCAATGCTGTGTTTACCAGTCAGCCTTCCCCAGTAGACTGTGGACACCTAGAGAGTCAGCTTTGGGTCCTCCGCCAGGGAAACAGAGTAAACGCTCAATCAATGGTTGTGCAGTAAATGATATTAGACATAACTCCTATGATTTATGGATCATGGATCACCACCGTGACTCAGAGTGTCTGTCACTGGGGACACACAGTCACTACCTAAAGTAGGCTGATCTGTCTGGCATTGTTCTTGCCCAATCATCCTCTATTGGGGTTTGTTTTTTATTAAGATTTTATTTATTTATTTTTAGAGAGAGGGGAAGGGAGGGAGGGAGAGAGAGAGAAACAGCAATGCAAGAGAGAAACATTGATCAGTTGCCTCTCAAACGCACCCCAACCGAGGAACCAAACCTGCAACCCAGGCTTGTGCCCTGACCAGGAATTAAACCTGAGACCTTTCACTTTGCAGGATGATGCCCAGCCCACTGAACCACACCAGTCAGGGCTCATCCTCTATCGTTTAAAGTTAGCACCGATCTGTTTGAGTGCAAATTACGCCCATACTTGTAAATGCCATATTTATCATGCCACTGGTGCCTACAATTCTGTCCCTGGCAAGCACGTTTCTTAAGCTAAGTCATGCTCTCCTCCTGCATTCTCTTACCATTTATAAATAGTAGCAGGAAGTGTAGGAGACCATTGCCTGGGGCTACCCTTTACTGTTGTGAGACTATTGTGATGTGATGCCCAAGTCCTGAAGGCCACCAGAGATGGCTTCCTACCAAGTCCTAGAAAGGACTTGAAGATGGGAATCCCCAAAGGGAGTGGGCATTCCCCCTATTAGTCATCCAGGGAAAAAGTAACTCCTGAGGCAGAAAGTAGTGAGTGGACAGGGAGAAAACACAGTGTCTGGTACCTGGACTGCAAAACGCCTGCAGGTAGCAAAGTGCAAGCTGGGGCTCCAGGGAAGAGAGTGCCACAAGGAGGTAGCAGTCACTGGACTGGAAGTCCTCACAAGGGACCCTCTGAGAAAGACTAGGGCAAGAGCAGCCATAACTAATATCTATTTTTAAGCCCTTCTTGTGCATAATTCCTGCATACTTTTCCTAAGCCCTCGGTCAAGTCGGTGCAGCATTCCAGTCTGTTTACACTAAAGACTGAGGTGTGAGGAAAGGGTCTGCTCCACCCTCGGGCCTGAATGGTAAAGGGAAGCAGCCCCTCTGGAGCAGCAGCAGCCGCAGCTTAGGTCTCTAGTGGCGAGACAAGCTGGCAGTCAAGAGTTGAAAAGAATCTTTCCCTTCCTGGTAGGAAAGAGCATTCCACTGAGGACGGGGAAAGGCTCATATACATGGGTGTGGGATAATGTTTTACCCATTTGAAAAGGTTCCAGCAAGTCTGCCCACCCAGCCTATCTTCCATACCTCACTTCCCACTTCTAACTGGCCCCTCACAGATGGATCTTTGATGTTCCTAATGGGAAAGCACTTCTCCAGTCTGTGAAGGACAGCCAGTGCCACAAAGGTTGTCATGACACGGGCAGCCTGAATGCCAACCTGCTGGCAAGATGTGGAGGTGTAGCGGCCCCCAGGACTGAGCTCTGCCGATCCCCCACATTTTTGGCACCAGGAACCAGCGGAGCTCAGAGGGTAATGTGAGCAATGGGGAGCAGCTGCAAATACAGGCAAAACTTCGCTCCCTGGCCCGCTGCTCATCTCCTGCTTTGTGGTTCCTGGTTGGAGATGCCTGGTGTGGGGGAAGTCAGAGATGCAATATGGCGCCAGTAGTAAAGGCGTCTGGAAGTGTTGGACTCTCTGTTTAGCCTTCTGTGACTGTTTAAGTCTCGGTAGACTCAGGCTTGGCTGACTACACAGAAAGCCAGAATGCCCCCAGGAAAGAGGTTAAAAAATGCACAGACTGTAGATAACTGCCCGATGTTATCTGTTAACTTAGAAAAGCATTGTCCTTTCTGGTGGTCTATGTGACTACCCACCATATGGTTTTACTATTAACCCCTTATAAAAAAAAAAGACCTGTCCTGGGAGGCATGTGGATTTTTTTCCCTGGCCCCCACCATTGGGAGCAAGCAGCTGTTTTGCCCGCGTATGTAAGTTTCTCCTATTAAAGCTTTTATGAATTTGAATAAGGCTACACATCAGTTCTTCAAAATTGATCCTGAATTTAGAATGTTGGGGCATTCCCCCAACAGGAGGACTCTTCTTGTCACTCTCTTTTAAAAAGAGCAGCTTCGCCCTGGCTGGTGTGGTTCACGGGGTTGTGTGTCATCCTTTAATCTGAAAGGTTACTGGTTCAATTCCTGGATGGAGCACATGCCTGGGCTGTGAGCCAGCCCTCTGGTTGGGGGCGTGCAAGAGGCAACCAATCAATGTTTCTCTCCCTCTCTTTCTACCTCTGAAGCTTCTCCTCTCTCCAAAAATAAATATATTAAATCTTTTTTTAAAAAGATATTTTTAAAAATGGCAGCTTCTTTGCAAGACCGAAAGCAGAGGCAAGGGAAGGGGAGGAGAGGAGTCACCCCTCTCCCCAGGATTTGTCCCCATTGCCACACGACAGGTTCAAGGACAAGTATGTGACCTAAGACGATCTACTCAGAGCCAAGTTCAGTTTGGTTGTACAATAACAGTGGAAGAAACAAATATGTAGTTTTGTTGCTGCTGGACGTCATTTTGCTGCCATAAATGGCAAACCAGTCCAAGGACAAAAGCTAACAACATACAGAGGAAGGCAGAACTGAGAGCCTCACAGAGAAATGGAGCCAGAGTTCTGAACCAGCCATGCCCAGAGGTCATCTTCTCTCTGTGCTTCTCAGGCACGTGAGGTAATAAATTCTCTTCATTGTCAAGACCGATTCCAGTAAAGTTTTCTGCTACTCACAACAAAAACTATGCCCACCTGAGAGAGTTCTAGAAACAAAAAATGATCTAGAATGAGGGGAGCAAGGAGGGATGCCAGTGCCTCACAGGGTCCAGGCTGTGACGGTCCACGTAACGGCAGGACTTAACAGAGGCATGGCCTGGCCAGATGCTGACCTCCCAGCCCTGACAGCCCCACTCCGGTGGAAGCCAGAGAAGGACCTTGAAAAGCGAGCACAGGAGAACCCACCTCAGGGCACTCTCCTGAAGGAATCCAGAAATGCGCTTAAAGGGATCCAGAAACCCCTGCTTTGGAGTCGCGGAGACCATGTTCAGACACTGACCCTCCTTCACCAGTTTATGATCCTGGACAAGTTTGTTAATGTATATCAAAATATTCTTATCCATAGAAATGGGGATAATAAAACTTGCCTCTTGGAGCTGTCAGGATGATGAAATGGGATGAGAGCAGAGGCTCTAGAGCCAGACTGCCCACCTCCGCGCAAATCCCAGCTTGGTCCCATGGCCAGGATGCCCATGGGAAGCTCAGATACCTGCTCTGGGCCTCAGTTCTCTCACCTGTAAAATAAGAATGAAAATAGCACCTAGCTTACAGGAGTAATATGAGGATCAATGAGTTAATACACATAAAGAGCTTAGGACAGTGTCTTACAGATAATAAATGTTTGATCACTTTTTAGCTGTCTTTATACACAACCCCCATGGTCTTATCGGAGAAATATGCACCAAACACACTAAACAATGCAGACCCTGACCCTGCACTCCCACTTAATGTGAGGGAAGGAAGACATGTAGGAAGGAAGAGAGGAAGGACAAAGCTTATTACAGGATTTTTTATAACAATTAAATTGGGTAATCATTTCAATGCCCTTCAAATAATAAAGCTATAAAATGAAACACTAAACTACCTTGATCACTGTATCACTTGATACAGGATTCCTAGGAGGTATCTTAGTAATTAGGGTCCAATAAAAAGCTGTTGAAAGAAGAGCAAAGGAAAGAAAGATGGATTATATTCCTAGAGACAGGGAGATCCACAATGACTCGCCTTCTGTTTGTTTCACCTCCGGCCCCTAGAAAATAACACTGGAGGAAAAGCAGACTACCCCATGGCTGTAATAAAAGGAAAAGTGACTTAGCAGAGAATAAGACCTCTGGATATACTGGAAAACAACTGAAATAAAGCAAGAGAAAAAAAGAAGAGTCCAGGTGGCCAGGGTTTGTAGTTGCAAGATCAGTCCAGTAGAGGGCAGCATTACCTTTAAATCAAA